GAAGGCGCGCGCCGCCCGGTTACTCGCGCGCTCCGCCTCCACGTAGCTGAAGCGCCGCGCACCGTGGATGAGGAAGGTGTGCGTGGGACGCTGCCGAGCCAGCTGTGCGAGGCGCCAGGCCAGGCTGCAGCCCCCCTCGGGCCCCTCCGGGTCGGCGGCGGCTGCGGCCCGCGCGCGCGCTTGCAGAGCCCTTTTGCAGCGCAAGGCGCGCACCACGAAGGCCAGGTCCGCCGCGACCCAGCGCAGCCGCGGCCAGAAGCGCAGCCTCAGCAGCAGCAGGGGCAGCAGCAAGAGCACGAGCAGGAGGAGGGCAGCCATCGCGCTGCCTTCCCCGTCCCCGCCCCCTAGCCCGGCCGCCAGTCCGGACCCCCGCGGACGCGCTGCGGTCTCCTCCGAAAAGTCGGCCCCTCGCTCTGGCCCGGAGACCTCTCCTGCCAGCGAGCGCGCGGCGACCCCACCCCGGGGGGCGGACGGAAGGCGGAGGGGGCCAGGCCTCCCGCCCCTCCACCGCGCCCGCCCCGCCCTCTCCCTCCCTCGAGGCTGCAACGGCCCGGGTCAAGTTTTGGGCGGTGCCGGCGCCTGCCTCGGATCCCCGGGTCCACACCCGACTTTTCAAGTTCTGGGTGGTTCCGGCCTCTAGTCTGTGAGCCAGCGCGGTGGGCTGCAACGCATGTCTCCTCCAGTAGCCCTCATTTTCAGCTGTGATGGGAGGGGACCCCGCTCCTGCAGAGATTTGCTTTTGCTTTTTTTTTTTTTTTTTTTTTTTGAGACAGGGTCTCGCTGTGTAGTCCAAGATGGCCTCGAACTCGCAACCATTCACTTTTCCCGCGTGGGATTACAGGCGTGTGTCACCGTGCCCGGCCCCACTTGGTTCTGCAAGCCCCAGCTCGCTAGCCGAACCCACAGGGTACGGGCAGAGTTAAGTAGGAGAAAGGTGGAGGCCCAGACAGGCAGACTTCTGGAGGGGCCCGCGGCAGAAGCCCCTCCCTTTTGGGCAAAGGGACAATCACTGGGACCAGCCAGCGAATGCTTTCCAGCCTGGTTTTAATTGGGCAGAGGGAAGAAGAGGAAGGAAAAAGAGGCCTCCGAAGTCGGTTAGATTTTCAAAGGGGGAGGACAACCCAGATTCTGCGAAACGGCAAATCTGCAGGTCCAATCAGGAGGCATCTGCAACGCACCCAAACTTCACTGCTCTCTTCTCAGCTGGCCTGCAAGCAGGCAGGAGGGAGTGGACACCCGGCCCAGCAGCACAGTCTGCCGGTACGCGTGGACCAGCCAGTGGCCAGCCGGAGACCCCGGCCCTGGTATCTGGACTCTTCCCCAGGCAGACTTCTGCCCAAGACCTGGGACAGGGGTCCCTGCCAAGCAGTAGCCTCAGTAGCCCTTAGGTGCTGGACATCAGAGGAGGGCTAGAAGGTGTCTTCGGAAGCAGTGGGCAGAGGGGCGGTGCCAGCATCCACTGCTGCCCGGACAGGTCAGTGACTGGCTGGTATCTCCAGCTACACGAAGGATGAGGGCCGGCCAAGTCAAGCCCCTCCTGGCCTAGATCAAGCGGGGGCTAAGCAGGGAGCAAAAGGGGAGACGCTGTGAGGCCACAAGTAGTGGTGTCAGTGACACTGGAGCCATCTGTACATGCACAGGGTAAATCCGGGCAGCAACTCTGGCACAAAAGATGTGCTGGCTTGTTTTATTGTCATTTAAAACCAACTTTTAAACCGCGATTATCTTTGGAAAAAAAAAAAAAGAAAGAAAAAACAGAACCAAAGAAATGGGGCCATTTCACAGTTCTGAGGAACTTCCTCTGGAACTCCCCGGACTCCGGCCCAGCTTCAGGTGCCAACCTCACCTCAGGCCAACCCAAGCCTGTGTGCAGATCACTCAGCTGGGGCCTCCCTTTCAGGTTCATTTTTCCTTTTTTTGGTACCAGGAATCCAACTCAGGACCTTGCGCTTGCCAGGCAGGCACTTGTGCCGCTGAGCTACATCCCGGCCCTCCCTTTCAGATTTCTTCCCAAAGGCCGTGACATCTGCCCAGATGGGCACCAACCGCGTCAGGACAGAGGCCCAGTTCACGCTGGTGTGTGAAGCGCAACTATCAGTCATTGTTTCAGGGCGAATCAAGACAGCAGGGGGAGTGGGCAAGACCCACACACTGAGCAGCGCCCTGATCCTGGCTGCCTGGGCCAGCAGCCACTCTTGTCATCGCGCTCCTCTGTGAAAATGGTCTTCTCGAGACTGGGGAGCATCTGGTAATGGTCTGCGAGACCCCAAGTGCGAGTGGAAGCAGCAGGACAGGAGGGATGGGATGGGGCTGCATGGCAGCTTCTCAGGCTGGGTCCCAGGAAGCAGCTCGTACTTCCCACTGGGCAGGCCTGGGAAGGAGAGGGTGTCCTCTGCACATCCCCGGCCCAATGACCCTCTGATTTATCAGGGAGGAGGGCAGTCCAACTGGGGCTGGGATGGGGACATGGGGCCTCAGTCACTGTCAGAACCCACTGCAGAGGACCCTTTCCGTTTCCGCTTGGTTGGCTTCGGTTTTGTGTCTTCTTCCTCCTGGAAGAGGTGGGAGGGCAGGGGAGAATCACCGGCCTGGGCAGCAGCTGGCCCCACTCCGCCTGGATCTGCTGCCCCTTCCTCCCTCGCACGGTGCTGCCTGGCTCTTACCGAGGCGCTGCTGGAGCCCGACTCCTCCTCTGCGTTAGGGGGCTGAGTGGCATTCTTCCGACTCCGAGGGCTGGACAAAGCTGCCTTCCTCCGGCTTTTGGGTGGCTTAGTTGAAGAGTCCTCATATTCCTCAGCCAGGGAGAAGAGATCACTGAACCTATAGGCAAGAACAAGCTCTCGGCGCTAGCATCCTGGCCGTGCGCCACCGCCCTCCTCCCTCCTCCTCTGTCCTTGTCAACCTATTACATTTGTGGCCCCAGCAGGCTTCCACTCCCCTAGGCCTTCTCCCCACCCCTTCTCCAGGCCAAAAGCACAAGGGGCCTCACTTCATCTTGTGGGCTTCGTCACAGCTGGCCTGGACGTGCTGCAGCGCCTGGAGGATTGGGGTCTGGCTGAAAACTGGAGAGACAGGAAGGAAAGCAGGGAAGAAAGAACAGTGAGATGCCTGGGCACCTATGTGATGTCCCCAAGGCTGTGTTCTCCCGAGGGCTTGGGTTCCGGCCCTGGCAGTCCCACCCCTGCCCCAGCCTGGCTCTAAGTGGCAGCACTGCAAGGCGAGAGCAGGGGCAGCGGGGCATACAGTTCTGCTTGGTGTTGGTCAGGTTGAGGCGCAGGTTGTCCAAGTGCTCCAGGATCTGCTCCAGGGTCAGCTGGGCCAGCTTGCTGCTGGAGCTCCTCAGGCTGTGTGGGGAGGACAAGAGAGCCCCTGAGCTCACGGGAGGGCTCCCCAAGTGTGAGACACCCTCCACCCCACCAGGGCAGACGTAGCCTGTGCCAGCGAGAGGGCTGGGCTTGGGTGGCCTAAGGGAAGTGTGAGGCTAGGGGGCACTAGGAGGCACTAAGGGCCCGCATGGCACATGGCTTCAGGACGCTAGATGTCACCCACAGACCAGGCTAGGACAGCACTGGCATCCTACTGTCCCTGGGCAGAGGTCACTGCCGACAGCCCTGGAAACGGCCTCTCGGCCGTGGGCAGGGGTCAGGGCCACCTCTGCCTCTTCCGCGGGAGGCTGTTGTTCTTGATGAGCAGGGACTTGATGTGCTCCGCCAGCAGCTCGTCGTGCTTCATGCACCAGTGCCGCAGGATGCTGGTGGTGAACTGGTCGTCAGGGTGGCAGGGCCGGCTCAGCACCATCTTCACCATCTCCTCGCTGGGCCTGGGGGCAAGAGGAGTACTGTGCATAGCCAGCCGGCCTCAGGAACTGCTGGATCTCTCACTTTCCAGATCCCAGCCTCCACCCCACTGGAGTCCCACTGTGGCTTCCTCCTCTCACATCCTCCTCCCCTTTCGCTTCCACCCTTTGTGGAAGCCAGGAGACGAGGAGGGAGATTCTTCTGTTTCGGTGGTGGTAGAAGCTGTGCACGTACATATGTTGGGGCGGAGGCCCGCCAGACCCTCCAGCCTCCCCAGGGCAGTGAGGAAGAAGACCAGCCTGTGCTGTGTGGACGCTCCCCACCCGGCCCGCTCAGCGTCAGCCGGTCTGGTATCTGGCCCGAGGGCACAGCAAGAGGGTGGCTGTGAAGCCACGGTTCCCACACAGCGCTCTCATTTCCCACTTCCTCTAGGACCCTGGACTAGTACCTCAGGCACGGGAGAAAAGGTTTGTGGGAGAAACTTGGGAAGTAGGAAGAACAAGACACAGCTGTTACCTCATTTATCTGGGGAGGTTGCTAACATGCCCAGGATGGAAAGGGGGCCTTCTGTTTCTCACCCACTATGCCCCGCCGCTGGCAGGGAGCACACGGGCCCAGCTGCTCTGTTTGGGGTGGGCTGACGGGGACGGGAGTGATCTCCGCATTCTGACCCTTCTCCTCTTGGATTAGCCTATGGTGTGCAGGAGTGTGGGGGCAGGGAGCAGGGGCCACCAGGATTAGAACTGCTGTGGCAGCAGGAAATAGGGATGTCCGGTCCCCACTTCCTCACCTCCGTGGGCAGCTCCTGGTGGGCAGGGGGGCAAGAGGAAGCCCAGATCCCAGGAGAGCTGCTTGTTTCTAAGTTGCACTGGGTGAAGGGCAGAATAAGCAGACATCAACAGGAAAAAGAAAAGCTCAAAAGGAACAGGACAGAAGCCCCTTATTACACACTTGGTGTGCCGGTCCCTACAGCCAAGGAGCCCTGGGGGCAGAACTCACTTTTCTCTTCGGAGCTGAAGCAGTAGGCAAGATAGGGCCTCTGGGTGCTCTGCGGGGGAAGGGGAGACGCTGTTCAGGGGAACACAGCATTCCAAGAAGGAATCTGGGCACTCTCCTATCCCAAAAAGCCACTGGAGAGCAAGCACAGCCTTAGACCAAGAGCCAGGCCGAACCCCGAACCTGAGTCCCGGCTCAGTGCTCAGTTCAGCGTGGGCCTGCAGGGCTCGGTGCTGAGCCTGCTCTCTGCACTGTGGTGCTGGGGAGCAAGACACTGCCACTGCCTCATCCTAGAAGCCTAGAGGCCGTGGTGTTACCCCAGCTGGGCTGGGATGTCCATTCCCCACACTCCCAAGTTGCACCCCAACTCACCCTTGTACTTAAGGTGCTGCAGGATGGGGATTATCGTCTCCAGGGGGATGTTGTGGGCCAGGAAGAGCTGCCACGCACAATACTGCTCGAACGTTTCCCAGTCCAGACTCTGGACTGAAGGAGACAGAAGCAGCTTCTCTCATTCTCTGTCTCTCATGCATGAACCCCTCCCAACACAGCAGCGAATCCACTCCGGACCAGCACACCACACAGGGATGGCACCCCAGGCAGGGACCACACAGGGGAAGTGACAGTGGCCCCAGACTCAGACCCTTTCCTTTCCACATGGCACTTATTTACAGAGGCTTCTCCGGGCT